TACTTTTTCTGCTCAGTAGGTGGCGGTCATATGTTCTAAAACCGATAATCCATCCCTAATAAAAACCAGCGAAGAAGAAAAGCGCCTGCTCTGTAATCTGCGCATGTGCAAGTCAATCAAAACACAACCAGAGATGCATCTTATCAGATTTTGATTGCTCGTGAAAGAAAATACTTATTTTTATTATACTTAAACATCCATTGTTAACGTTGACACAGAAAACGATTATGTTTATTTGTTTTCCTTCATAATCGAACCAAGAAAATGTTACGATAACAATGTAGCTGCCATGCTAACAGGTGAAGTGGCTAACGGTGAGTGTTGGACATTCCTACCGGGGAGTTTCTTGCTGTCGTGTTGGTGTTTTCGACTTTGTTTTGATCTCGGTGTGTTAGCTCAGTGAACGGTAACAAAATGGAGAGTGTTGCCGTCAAAGATGAGGTGTCCACGGAGTGTCCTCAGGTGTCAGAGGACGTGGAGAGGATCTTGGTGCCTGACCTGACTACCATAAAGACTGAGCAGGCGGTGCGTGGAGCCCCCGATGACACAAGCCCCCAAAATGTGGCCATGGGCATCAAGTTCATTCTGCCCAACCGCTTTGACATGAACGTGTGCTCCAGATTTGTGAAGTCACTCAACGAGGAGGACAGCAAAAACATCCAGGACCAGGTGAACTCGGACCTGGAGGTGGCTTCGGTTTTATTTAAAGGTGAGATCAGTCTGTGGACTTTGTCTCACGTGCACAACAGCGAAGCCTGATTCTAAAACAAGTCGTTTGTTGTCTTTCAGCTGAGTGTAACATCCAGACTTCACCATCACCGGGTATCCAAGTGCGCCACGTCTACACCCCCTCCACCACAAAACATTTCTCCCCCATCAAGCAGTCCACCACCCTGACCAACAAGCATCGTGGAAACGAGGTTTCCTCCACACCTCTGTTGGTTCACTGTAAGAACTCCTGCTGGTTCAGCTCTTTACTAAGCAAACATGAAATCCCACATCCATGTTGTAACCTTTTCCATGTGAATGATTTGTTTCTCTCAGCTTTGTCCATTCATCAGCTGGCAGCTCAGGGAGAAATGGTGTTTTTGGCCAGCAGGATAGAACAAGGTACACTTTACATCTACAGTCTGCTTCAGTTCCACTCATACACACCTGTGTTTCAATTTAAACAGAGAACTGCAGTGTTTATAGACCTGTTTTTCTGTTTAAGTCCTACAAGAATGATCTTTCCCATTATGACACATCATTAAAGGGTAGCTATTTAACCCAAAGATTTACTTAGAGCAGTAAGTTCAGTTCAGGTTGATATATCTCTCAAAAAAAAAAATAATTAAAGGGATCCATGATTAGTTGCAACTTTAGACTTTATTTGATAAACATATATTTTAACTGTAAAACAAAGAC